GTTAAATTTCATTAATTCATTGGAAATTACTAATTATTATCATTATCATTAATAAACATTAGATTCTAGTGATAACAATGGAAAAGATATTGAAAGAATTGAGGAAGTTGATGAATTGTCTATGGATTATTAATTTAATTTTCCATTATAAATTTATTCACACATATATATATTATATATTTATTTATGATATTGGTTATTTGGAAAGTGGAGTCAATGTAGAAAGTGAATAATAATAATAATAATAATAATGATATCAAAATTCACGTAGTAGGAAAAATGTTCATAACGTAATGAGTTTGAAATAATAAAAACAAATAATAGTTGCAACTTTTAAAATTTTTTGCTTCAATAAATAAATTTTTTTCGATTTATCCCTGTCAAAGTTTTACTATGATGACGAAAAATTAACAGAACCAGGGTCCTGGTTTTATTTGATAAACCGGTTTGCATAATCCTAAACCTATGATGTGACTACTACCATCTCTACCTATTAATCTTTTATATGTATGCAAATAATGCAGCACATAAATATCTAAAGGTCATAATTCTGTCTTTTGATGTTAAAAAAGAATTGGAAGAAATGGACATGATTCCGGGTCCAGTCATTCTCACATTGGCTCAAGATATGCTAGATTGTTCAATTAGATCCACTAGCAAGGTAGGTGACGATATCTCACAAAGTTTTCTCTTGTGGACTAATCTAAGTGAAATTAAAGGATTACTCAAGGCAATGTTCCTATTCGAATATTCTAAAATTACTTTATTTAGGAAGATTTACATGTGATGCTCGTAATAGTGATTAACTCGAGGATATTGGCTTTTGTGATATAATTTTTGAAAAAGAATATGACATCGATTTTACATGATATTTACTATTTATGTTTTGTAAATGACCCTTTTTGTTGTGGTCCTTGTGGGTTAAACTTTGCATAATAGTTGCTATGAATCAATCGAGAGTGAATTATATGATAACAACTTCATAGAATAGTTTAATCCTCAGTGTTATTATAAAAATTTATATTTGATCAAGCAAGCATTTGGAAAACACGAAGGTTGTAATTTTATATTATTTTTGAATATATCTATTTTGATGAGTATTATTTATTAACCAAGAGGAAGAAGTGTGGTGATTGTGAGTTCAAACTCCCCAAAATAGAAAATTATGCATATGTAAAAAGAACTACCAGATAAAGATGAATTCGGTATTGAAGAAATTGGGAGGACAGTTAGCAATTATAATTCCAATTTGTGGAGCAAATATTTTCACATAAGAATCCCATTAAAACAAAATTGAGAAACTTATTGATGTTCCATGTTATAACAAAAGTTAAGAGTTTTATACTTGAATCATTTTGTCCCCATGCACAGTTGAGATTATTCGCAAAAATTCATCCATAACTGATATTATTAATTCATGTTGTCCGAAAACAGTACAGTTTTTCATTAATTCTGGATTAAAAAACGAACTATAATAATAACATGTCATCTTCATACGGTCCATTGTTCATTACATTCAAATGGCTGAGCTGCTAAATAGAGTTGGTCAAAAAACCCCTTCAAGCTTGGTTCTATTTCTTGGAGCAATCTTTGTATTTCATCAAAATCGTATATAGGACCTTCTTTATTTGAACATTCTCTTTCATAAAGATTTTTGGCCATCATCTTGATGGCTCTAGTGAAATCAATCTTTTCACTTACTTCTTCCTCTTCCTCTTCCTCTTCCTCTTACTCTTCCCTTCCGCATCTGTGGTTTTCACTCTCCTAGGTTATCTTTTTAAAGGATTTTCTACAAATTCATATAACAAATGTTACATAAAACAACATGTTACTTTCACTAAGTTGTTGTTCTTTCCATTTATTGCCTTTCAGTTGACGAAATTTAGCTGATTCAGTGGTTTTACATTCTGTGCAATGTTTAATTTCAGGCATTTTTCTTCAAATAAATCATATTATGATAGTTGTGGGATTCAAAAGATATAATATTTTCCAAGTGTAAAAAGCTTCAAGTTTGTGCAATTATTTACATATGATTTATTGCTACGTGATACCCTTGTAAAGAGATTTTTAACCGTATAAAAAAAATTGAAAATTCTTTCCTTATGCAGGACGGTCTCTCCTGTTATGTTTAGTAAAAATGGGGGAATTGGTCAATGAAATACTGAATTAAACCAACGAATTATAAATGGTTTTTGTAATATTTAATCTAATGTTACAAGATTAAATGCGGATTTATATCATGGAGAGTTTAATGTTAAAATACATCTTGTGCAATTTCTAGGTTTAACGCTATCATTCCATCACAGAAAAATATTGATATTAATTCAAATGTTTCTTGTATAGTCTATATTAATCTTCATAGTATTTGTGTCTCAAAAAAAAATGAAGGCGGTTCGTTCTCATGTTATCAAGTATTATTATTATTATTATGTTATTATTGTATATATTTAAAGGTAGAAGAAACTCATATTACGCAAAATTTTGTATTATTCATAAAGAACATTATGTAGAATTTAACAAGGAATGGACGGAATGATGTGAACAACAATAATAGTTCAACACAAGTATTAGATTCAAGCAGGTTGCATCAAGATAGTGGTGGTAGTGGCGTTAAACAATTTGGTGCTATAAATGATGTAAATGCTAGCTTGAAAAACATTGCTGCTCCAAGTGCGATCCTTAGGCTTGTTAGATTGGAGTTCTGAAAGAAGTATATATAACACCGATGGTATTAGCAATGGTACGGACGATCATGATAGTAATTATTAAAATGCATGGTATAACAATAATAATTATAATAATACTTGATAACATGAGAACGAACCGCCTTCATTTTTTTTTGAGACACAAATACTATGAAGATTAATATAGACTATACAAGAAACATTTGAATTAATATCAATATTTTTCTGTGATGGAATGATAGCGTTAAACCTAGAAATTGCACAAGATGTATTTTAACATTAAACTCTCCATGATATAAATCCGCATTTAATCTTGTAACATTAGATTAAATATTACAAAAACCATTTATAATTCGTTGGTTTAATTCAGTATTTCATTGACCAATTCCCCCATTTTTACTAAACATAACAGGAGAGACCGTCCTGCATAAGGAAAGAATTTTCAATTTTTTTTATACGGTTAAAAATCTCTTTACAAGGGTATCACGTAGCAATAAATCATATGTAAATAATTGCACAAACTTGAAGCTTTTTACACTTGGAAAATATTATATCTTTTGAATCCCACAACTATCATAATATGATTTATTTGAAGAAAAATGCCTGAAATTAAACATTGCACAGAATGTAAAACCACTGAATCAGCTAAATTTCGTCAACTGAAAGGCAATAAATGGAAAGAACAACAACTTAGTGAAAGTAACATGTTGTTTTATGTAACATTTGTTATATGAATTTGTAGAAAATCCTTTAAAAAGATAACCTAGGAGAGTGAAAACCACAGATGCGGAAGGGAAGAGTAAGAGGAAGAGGAAGAGGAAGAGGAAGAAGTAAGTGAAAAGATTGATTTCACTAGAGCCATCAAGATGATGGCCAAAAATCTTTATGAAAGAGAATGTTCAAATAAAGAAGGTCCTATATACGATTTTGATGAAATACAAAGATTGCTCCAAGAAATAGAACCAAGCTTGAAGGGGTTTTTTGACCAACTCTATTTAGCAGCTCAGCCATTTGAATGTAATGAACAATGGACCGTATGAAGATGACATGTTATTATTATAGTTCGTTTTTTAATCCAGAATTAATGAAAAACTGTACTGTTTTCGGACAACATGAATTAATAATATCAGTTATGGATGAATTTTTGCGAATAATCTCAACTGTGCATGGGGACAAAATGATTCAAGTATAAAACTCTTAACTTTTGTTATAACATGGAACATCAATAAGTTTCTCAATTTTGTTTTAATGGGATTCTTATGTGAAAATATTTGCTCCACAAATTGGAATTATAATTGCTAACTGTCCTCCCAATTTCTTCAATACCGAATTCATCTTTATCTGGTAGTTCTTTTTACATATGCATAATTTTCTATTTTGGGGAGTTTGAACTCACAATCACCACACTTCTTCCTCTTGGTTAATAAATAATACTCATCAAAATAGATATATTCAAAAATAATATAAAATTACAACCTTCGTGTTTTCCAAATGCTTGCTTGATCAAATATAAATTTTTATAATAACACTGAGGATTAAACTATTCTATGAAGTTGTTATCATATAATTCACTCTCGATTGATTCATAGCAACTATTATGCAAAGTTTAACCCACAAGGACCACAACAAAAAGGGTCATTTACAAAACATAAATAGTAAATATCATGTAAAATCGATGTCATATTCTTTTTCAAAAATTATATCACAAAAGCCAATATCCTCGAGTTAATCACTATTACGAGCATCACATGTAAATCTTCCTAAATAAAGTAATTTTAGAATATTCGAATAGGAACATTGCCTTGAGTAATCCTTTAATTTCACTTAGATTAGTCCACAAGAGAAAACTTTGTGAGATATCGTCACCTACCTTGCTAGTGGATCTAATTGAACAATCTAGCATATCTTGAGCCAATGTGAGAATGACTGGACCCGGAATCATGTCCATTTCTTCCAATTCTTTTTTAACATCAAAAGACAGAATTATGACCTTTAGATATTTATGTGCTGCATTATTTGCATACATATAAAAGATTAATAGGTAGAGATGGTAGTAGTCACATCATAGGTTTAGGATTATGCAAACCGGTTTATCAAATAAAACCAGGACCCTGGTTCTGTTAATTTTTCGTCATCATAGTAAAACTTTGACAGGGATAAATCGAAAAAAATTTATTTATTGAAGCAAAAAATTTTAAAAGTTGCAACTATTATTTGTTTTTATTATTTCAAACTCATTACGTTATGAACATTTTTCCTACTACGTGAATTTTGATATCATTATTATTATTATTATTATTATTCACTTTCTACATTGACTCCACTTTCCAAATAACCAATATCATAAATAAATATATAATATATATATGTGTGAATAAATTTATAATGGAAAATTAAATTAATAATCCATAGACAATTCATCAACTTCCTCAATTCTTTCAATATCTTTTCCATTGTTATCACTAGAATCTAATGTTTATTAATGATAATGATAATAATTAGTAATTTCCAATGAATTAATGAAATTTAACAAAACTAAAAATTTAATTCACCTTTATTAAGATTAATATTTAAAAACTCATTAGATAGCATCGAAATATCATTGAGTGGCCAATGGATATGGTTTGTGTATTCGTTGTAAATTATTATTAATCTTCATAGTATTTGTGTCTCAAAAAAAAATGAAGGCGGTTCGTTCTCATGTTATCAAGTATTATTATTAT